TTGAGCCATGAAAACACTTCTCTTCAGAAAAGTCTGAGGCTTGAGCGAGGAAAAAAAGGCTGTCCTAATCACGTGCTTCATGTAAAATAAAATGCAAAGCTGCACAAACATGTTTGGTTTTAACAACGGACCCATTTTTTTTAAAAACGCGAGGCAATTAAAGAAATAATGTCCTTTCTATAAACATGGTTGGCAAAATTTTTAAAAAAGGCACAATGGGAGGGGTAACAAGAAATGTTTTCAACTTTCAGTGAAGAGACCAAAGCACATATTGTTCATGAAGCAGAGAAAAATGTTCAGTAATTCATGCACAACTTGAGCCATGAAAACACTTCTCTTCAGAAAGATCCTGAGGCTTGAGGAGAAAAAAGGCTGTCCTAATCACGTGCTTCATGTAAAATAAAATGCAAAGCTGCACAAACATGTTTGGTTTTAACAACGGACCCATTTTTTAAAAAGTGAGGCAATTAAAGAAAACAAAACCAAAATACTTTCATAAGATTCAACCTGCAGCCTCTGTTCTTTCTACCACTCAATGGGATAAAATGTAAAATGCAGCATACGCAATCATGTAATCTAAAAACTTTTCATGATAACTTATTGCAAATTGCACTTGACAGTTCACCACAACAATGGAAAACTGGCCCCTTGGTAGTCAGGCAGCTCTGTGTTCTCTTCTACTTCCACAGGAGTATCTTGGAATGGAACCAGCATCTGATACAGAGAATGTGTTAAGAACTGTTACAAAATCAACTTAATGTGATATGTATATATATATATATATACACATATATATGCATATATATATGTGATATGCATCATTCTAATTACCATCGTTATTCTCAGTGTCTCTATGCCTTCTAAAATTTTTCTCTTGCACACAGCAGGCCCAAAAGATGAGTACTATGTAAACAGAAAGGAAGAACCACAAACGAGTACACATGCTGATCCACTGAGGTTCTAGGAGTAAATGAGCAACTCCTTTCTATGTTAAGACAACTAAAACAAGTGTCAGGTCACTCTGTGTCCCTGGAGGATCATGGAACCTCCTATTTGGGGAACCCGAATGAGCTTAAGGCATACAGAGTCATCATCCCTATCCTGACACTAGTGGAAAACACAGCAATAGGCAAGGACTTTCACCATACATACCTGTCCAATGGTTATACCTTTATTCTGGATCAGAAAACTAAAGTTAGGAAGTATATAAAAATCAATGTGAGAATACCATGTATCCTTTATTTCAATATAAAATCAGTAAGATATCTCCATTGAGATAAAAGTTTTCTTCACAAGAACAGTCTGAAATTCATAAAAGAATTCTCTATATTACTAAAATAGTTCATTGCTAACCAAGAAACACCAAATTCTTATATATTTGGCAACTATTGGTCAGAAATACTAGCAATCTGCTAACCATAAAAAGTAATGAATATTCTGAGAAAATAAATAATACTTTTACCTCTTCCCCACTTTCACTTTTCACAACTTGTTGAGCTTTCATGACCTTGGTTGATGCTATTGCTGATGCCAAAGCCTGGGCCAGGATAAAAAAAATAGCAATTTTGAACACTGGCTTAACACCCGTAACCTCAAGCACATTCAGCCACTGAAAATACTAACCTCAGCTTTTAAATCTGAACGGATTCGCACCACACATCTTTGAACAGCCATTTGAAAAGTAAAGCTAATAACGCCTTTAATTTTTAACAAAGCCTCTTCACATAGATTTCTTCGAGACTGAAAAGTAAAAGCAAATTGTTACTAGAACAGGCAAAATAACAAAAGAAATCAATTTAAGTCACACTGAACTAGTGATTACAGTCGTTTCACTTAATGACAAGGATATGTATTGAGAAACACATTGTTTGTCGATTTTGTTGTCAGAAATGTAGCAGTCTCTCTGAGTTGAGGACAAAGCTGAGAATTTGGGGAGGCCATGACAACTATACTTCACAAGGCAACTACTCAATACTGCATTTGAATTTAATCATATTCAAGTAAGTTTCATTTGCAACATAATTTTGGCATATACTATATTACACTGTAATTGCCAATACTGTTCCTTATCAAAAATTGACTCTTAATTTACTTAGAAAAAAACCACTAAAACCATACATTTGGACCTAATAAAGCATCTGATCAGATGCCTGCAGGTGTGAATTTGAAAGATTCCCCAGAATAACTTTCTTTAATCGAGTTAGGAAGCCAAACACTGCCAAAATCACTAGGAAAGCTCTTTTCTCCTACTGACATCATTTTTTCATGTTTTATTTTAAACTACTTAAATAGTTTATACTTGTGCGTGTCTGGGGGATGAAACTTCATATAGTTAAAATGTATCTTTTTTATGAATAAAAGGAAAATTATCTTTTTTAAATGCATGAGAAATGAAAGCTGCACAAAGAAGAGGGGCCACATGGAGATAAACCTGCTCTCGAGATCTGTAGACAGTGCCCCTTGAGTTTTCAGCTGACGGAAGATCAGTGCCTCTATGTTAGAAAAAACCTGAGGCTGGGGAAAGAACTAACAGAAAGGAATAGAAAGAACAAGGGTGTGGGGCTCACACTGTGCTGAGAATACATTATAGTCCCATCAGCTGTAAGAAAAAAAATCTCTAGATACGCCAGTAGAGAGTACACAAAAGGGTATTGCCTCAACAGTGTGACAAAATTATCCCCAGGCTAAAGGGTGCCATGGTCTTGCCTAACAAAGCTTTAATGCAAGGTTCAAAAGGATAAAGCTGTTTACAAGTAACTGTAATTCAAAATAAAGCTCAAGAATATTTAAAGGCTGTGCATACAAATATAGGCTGTACTTCACAACATAATATTCACAAAATCTGGCATCCACAGAAAAAGCCGTTGACAAAATTCAGCATCCTTTCTTGATAAAAGTTCTGATGAAACTAGGAAAAGAAGGAATGTACCTCAACATAATAAAGCCTATATATGACAAACCTATAGTAAGCATCATAACAAATGGGAAAATCTGAAATCATTTACTCTAAAAGTCAGAAATGAGGCCAGGGTATCCATTCTTTCCACTCTTATTCAACAAAGTTTTGGAATTCTAACCAGAGCAATAAAACAGGAAGAAATAAAAGGAATTCAAATAGGAAAGGAAGAAGTCAAATTATCTCTAATTGCATACGACATGCTCTTATACCTATAAAAGACCCAAAAGACCCCACCAAAAAACTCCTAGACATCATACATACCTTCAGTACAAAATCAGTTTACAAAAATCAGTAGCTTTTTTATATACCAACAATGATCAGACTGACAAAAGAACTTAGGAAAACAATTCAATTTACAACAGCCTAAGAAATATACATATACCAAGGAATAAACTTAATAAAGGAAGTGAAAGATTTCTACAATGAAAACTATAAACCTCTAAAGAAGACATCAGAAGATGGAAAGATCTCCCATGCTCATAGTTTAGCAGAATTAATATCCTGAAAATGGCTATACTACCAAAAGCAACTTTATGTTCAATGCAATCCCTACCAGAATTTCAATGACATTCTTCACAGAGACTGAACAATCACTACAACATTCATACGGAAGCACAAAAGACTACAAATAGCCAAGGCAATACTGAGCTGAAAAGAGCAATACTGGAGGTATCAAAATACCTGAATTTGAACTATAGAGCCACAGCAATAAAAACAGCATGGTATTGGCACAAAAACAGACATGAAGACCAATGAAAAAGAACAGATGAGTCCAACATAAATCCACATAGCCACAGCCACCTGATTTTTGACAAAGGCAGCAAAAATATACAACAGAGAAAAGACAGCCCCTTCAACAAATTTTGCTGGGGAAACTGAATATTTGTATGTAGAAGACTAAAACTAGATCCATGTCTTTCACCTTGTATAAATATTTACTCAAAATGGATCAAAAATATTAATGTAAGACCTGAAATTTTGAAATTACTCAGGAAAGAACAGGGAATAAACTGGAACCTATAGGCATAGGTGATAACTTCCTAAACAGAATTTCAATGGCTCAGCAATTAAGAGAAAGAACTGACAAATGGGACTACATGAATATAAAAAGCTTCTGCACACCAAAGGAAATGGTCACCAGACTGAAGAGACAGCCTACACTATGGGAGAAAATCTTTGTCAGCTATACATCTGAAAAAGGATTAATAACATAATTTACAAGGAGCTCAAAAAACTAAACTCCCAAAGAATCAATAATTCAATGAAGAAATGGACAAACGACTGAACAGACATTTTTCAAAGTACAAATGGCCAAAAAAAACCCACATGAAGAAATGCTCGACCCCTCGCCACAAAGGAAATGCAAATCAAATCCACATTTCTCAATCCTCACTTCTGTTTGATTGGCTACCATCAGGAAGACAAACAACAACAAATGTTGGTGAGGATGTGGGAAAAAGGAACCCTTTCATGCTGCTAATGGGAATGTAAATTAGTGCAACCACTATGGAAAACAGTACAGAGGCTCTTCAAAAAACGAAAAGTAGAACTGACATATGATTCAGCAATTCCACCCCTAGTAATATATCTAAAGGAATGTAAGTCAGGATACAATAAAGACTCTTGCACACTCATGTTTATTACAGCATTATTCACAATGACCAATCTACAGAAACAGCCCAAATGCCCTACAACTGATGAATAGGTTAAGAATATGTGGTATACATACACAATGACATATTATTCAGCCATAAAGAATGAAATTTGTTGTTCACAGGTAAATGGATAGACCTGGAAGACATCATGTTAAGTGAAGTAAGCCAGGTTCGGAAAGACAAAGGTCACATGTTTTCTCTCATATATGGAAGATGGATCCAAATATAAACACAAGCATTATCATATAAACATACATATGCAAAACATGTTTCCAAAAGTGGGACTCTTAGAAGAGACTAAGTGTAGAAGAAAATGATAGGGAATAAATAATATTGAAATAGGTCACATCTGTGTAGGAGCAACACACAACAAAATGCACTGAAAACTGCTGAACAATATAGGGTAGGAGGAGAAAGGTAACGAAGAGTAGTAGAGGGGGCTTGACTGGTTACGTGTATTATATTTACAGGTAAAATACCAAGGCAAGACCCCACTAAACAATGAACAAATACCAAAACAATGAAGGACAGGAATGCAAACCAGGGCATCTTAAGAAGAGGGTCATAGTTGGAGGGGGTGGGTAAATGAGGAGGGTGAAAAAGGGTGAATATAACTGAGGTACTTTTTATGCATGTATGAATATGGAACATTCAAACCTCTCAAAGTCATTTTAAGAAGGGGAGGAGGGGCTGATGGAGTGACTCAAGCAAGTACTGAGGTCCTGAGTTCAAACCCCAGCACCGTCAAAACACATAACACACACACACACACACACACACACACAAGAAGGGGTGTGGGAGAGGAGAGACAATAATGAAAGGGATGAACCAAACCAGGGTACAATATACAATATACGTATATACGGAAATGTCACAATGAAAACCCTGTATAGGTACATAAACTAATAAAATCTTTAAAAAAAATCTGGCTTCCATTCAAAAATTACCTTGTATGCAAAGCAAGAAAGCATAAAACAAAATTAGAAAAATCAATCACAGAAACACATTTAGAAGACAAATGATAGAATTGATAGGCACTAAACAGTTATTCTAAATATAGTTTGTATATTCAAGAACACAGAGAAAAGTATAAACATAAACATGTTAAGATTTTTAAAAAGACCCAAATCAAGATTCAAGATGCCTTTAAAACAATGTCTGTAGTAATAAATTAACAGCAAATTAAACACTCAGAGAAGGAAAAAAAAATTAGTTAAACACAGAAACAGAAATGATCCTCAATGAAAGATAGAAAAAAAAAAAACAGAAAAAGAAGTGAATAGAATGTGAGTGAAGTGTGGGAAAGCTTCAGTGGTGTATACATGTACTTTAAGTCCCTGAAATACCCAAGAAAAGGTAAAGAGATTTGATGGGAAAGCTTCAGTGGTGTATACATGTACTTTAAGTCCCTGAAATACCCAAGAAAAGGTAAAGAGATTTGAATACATAATGGAAAAATTTGTTGCAAACTTAAATCTAGACAGCCATGAAGTTGAATGAACCTAAATTAAAATAAGCATGAAGAAACTACACCAAAACAGATCATAAAACAAATTGATCAAAACCAGTGATAAAAGAAAATCTGAAAAGCAGGCAAAATCAGGAACAACAAAATCATGAATGAATAAGCAGAAGACTGAACAGAAACAAAGCAAAACAGAAGGCAGTAGAGCAATATCTTAAGTGTGGGAACTTTAAAAAGTCACATTGTACCTATCAAAAAAATCTTTTGAAAACAAAAATAGAACTTTCCAGACATAAAAACCAAGTATTGGAGACTTCAGTATTCAATTTTCAAAAAATGAATAAACAACTAGATGGAAAAGCATCAAGGAAAAACAAGAGTTAACACTATAAACCATCTAAACTTAATACTTATGGAGCACTCGAACAACCAAAATACACACTGTAAAGAGCACATGCAACATTCTCCAAGATAACCTATGTGTTAGGTAATAGGACAAGACTCAATAAATTTAAAAGAACTGAAATCCTAAACTATATTATCTGGTCACATGGAATAAATTAGAATTGAGTATCAGAAGGAAACTTGGAAAATTATTTGGAAATCAAACAATGCTCCTAAATAACCAATGAGTCAAAAAAGAAATCACAAGGGAAATTAGAAAATACTTTGAAATGAATCACATGAAAATACAACCAAAACTTATGTGATACAGAAAAGGTAGTATTTAGAGGCAAATTTATAGCTGTAATGACATTAAAATAGAAGGGCATCTCAAATCAGTAACTTAACTTTTCACCTGAAGAAATAAAAAAAAGAACAAACTAAACTTGAAGCAAGCAGAAAGAGGAAACAATAAGGACTGAAGCAAGGAGTAGGGGAGACAAAAAGACCAAAAAAAGAGAGAGAGAAATCATTATCAAAAGCTGAAAAGATCAACAAAATTGATAAACCTTCAGTTTTCTGACCAGTGGGGGGAAAAGACTTAAACTGCTAAAATCAGGAGTCAAAGAGGGGACATTACCATCAACCTCACAAAAATAAAAAGAATTATAAGCTGAGTATCCTTTATCTGGTCTTGGGACCATAAGTATTTTGATTTGGGAGTGCTTTAGATTTTGGAATATTTGTATAAACTTTATTGACTGAGCATCTCTAATTTAGAAATCTAAAATACTCCAAAATCCAAAACTTTTCAATGTCAGTTCAATGTTCAAAAACTTTGGGATTTGGAAACATTTCTAATTGTGAGTTTTGGATTTAAGGATGCTCACCCTGTATAAACAAATACCATAAACGATTATATGCCAATGTATTAGATAACCTCAATGAAATGAGCAAATTCTTGGAAAGACAAACTATCAAAACTGATCAAAGACAAAAGAAAAAAATGAATAGACTTGAACAAGAGTTCAATTATAATCAAGTGGTAGAGTGCCTCTCTAGCAAGTGGGAGGCCTAAGTTCAAACTCGAGTACTGCAAAAAAAAATTAAACACACACACACACACACACACACACACACACACACACACACACGATCAAAAAGTTGCCTACAAAGAAAAGCCAAGGCAAAATGGCCTCACTGGTGAATTACACAAAATGTTTAGCCAGGTGCTGGTGGCTCACGCCTGTAATCCTAGCTACTCAGGAGGCAGAGATCAGGAAGATTGCAGTTCGAAGCCAGCTGGGCCAATAGTTCACAAGACTGTATCTTGAATAAACATATCACAAAAAAAGGGCTGGTGGAGTGACTCAAGGTGTACACCAAGTTCAAGCCCCAGTACTGCAAAAAAAAAAGTTTAAAGAATTAAAACCAATCCTTCATAAACTCATCTCATATGAATATAGATCCAAAACTCAACAAAATCCTAGCAAACTAAATCTGGCAGTACATTAAACTACCTTACCCCATGGCCAACTGGGATTTATCCAAGGAATGAAAAGTTAGCTCAATACACGAATACAAGCAAAGTTATATAACTTATTAAAAGAACTCAACAATAAATAAATAAAAAGCCATTTAAAATTGGGCAATCTGAATAACCATATGAGCATATTTCTAAGAAAAAAATCTGAGATAAATTAAAGATGTACACAATAAACCCTAAATCAACCACTAAAAAATGGCCACCAAGTATTCAAAAAGTTGCTCAACACCATTAGGTATTAAGAAACCAAATCAAAACCATAGCAATATTATTTCATACTCACTAGGATGATTAAAATTTTTAAAATCTGGAAAGTAACAAGTGCTGAAGGGGATGTGCAAAAACTGGACCCCTCACACAGTGCTGACTGGAAAGTAAAATGGTGCAGCCACTGCTCAACAGTCTGGGAGTTCCTCAAAATATTAAACTAGCAAACAATCCAGTCTTGCTGCCCGCAGGACAATTGAGACCGTGTGTTAGCACAAACTTGTACAAGTGCAGGGTGTTGGTGGTTCACGCCTGTAATCCTAACAACTTGGGAGGATGAGATCGGAAGGATTGTGATTCAAAGCCAGCTTGGGCAAATAGTTCAAGAGATCCTATCTCCAAAATAACCAGAGCAAAATGGGTTGGAGGTGTGACTCAAGCGACAAGCACCTGCTCCGCAAATTCAAAGCCCGGAGTTCAAACCCCAGACCCACCAAAAAAAAAAAAAAAAAGAACCCTTACATGTGCAGTATTCGTAGAAATTTGTAAGAGCCAAAATGTAGAAGCAACTGTTCACCAACTTATGAATGGATAAACAGAATATAGCACATCCATGCAATGGAAAACTATAAAAAGATGTACTAATACATGCTACAACATGGAAGAGCCTTGAAAAAAATATGCTAAGTGAAGGTCAGATGAAAAGATCACATTTTCACCTATACTAAATGTCCGAAATAGACAAAAAGTAAGTTAGTACTTCCTTGACACTAGAAGGAACAATGTACTAATCATATGAAGGTTTCCTTTTTGGTGATAAAACATTTCAGAATTAAGACAGTGGTGATGGTTGCATAACCTTGAAATATAATTAAAACTATTAACTGCACACTTAAAAGTAGAGAATTGGGGGCTGGAGGTATAGCTCAGTGGTAGAATATACAAGGCTCTAGGTTCAATCCCCAGCACTACAAAAAGAAATGAATAAATGAAAGGGTGAACTGAATGATATGTAAATTACATCTCAATAAAAAACAAAATCAGAGTATTTGTATAACAGAGATGTACTACAAAAAATGTTAAGGAAGTCCTTCAGGAAGAAGGAAAACAATACAATGAAAATCTAGATCAACACAAAGAAGTACAGAAAAGGCAAAATTACTTTTATTTTATAAATATCTTTAAAATACATTTTAAAGAAAAAGTAATAATGTATTATGAGGTTTATAACACATGCAGAAGTAAAATGTATGATAACAGCACAAAGGCAGAAAGAGGAGAAATGAAAGTATACTGTTGTAAGTGTTTCATACTACCCATGAAATGATGTATTGGTTGAAGCTAAACTGTGATAAATCAAAGATATAGCAAATACTACTCCAGTGAATAAATGAATGAAAATTGTAGCTAATAAGCCAACAAAGAGATAAAATGGAATCCTAAAAAAACTCCAATTAGTCCAAAGGCAGAAAAGAGAAAAAGGGAACAAGGAATAGACAAGAGAAATAGAATTAGCAGAATTTTTTTAAAAATCCAACTATATAAATAATTGGTGGCCCAAATTAGAGGGCAGATTTTCTGATTGGATAAAAAAACAAGTCCCAAACAGACAGTGCTTAGAAGACAGTCACTTGAAATACAGACACAAAGAAAAGATACACATTAATCAAAAGAAAGTTGGAGTGGCTAATATTAAAAGCAGACAAAGAATGAATATAGAAGGGAACCAAAAGTTATGGAGAATTATGGCTGTAGTTCTACAATATTCTAAAAGATTTTATACAATCATTGTTATTTGTTCCTTAAGTGTTGATAGAATTCACCAGTGAAAAGATGGTAGTAGCAACACATGCCTGTAATCCCAGTATTCAGGAGGTAGAGGCAGAAGATCATGAGTTCAAGGTCAGCCCAAGCTACATAGCAAAACCATGTCTCAAAAAATAAAAACAAAGAAAAATGATTCACCAGTGAAGTCATCTGGGCCTGAAGTTTTCTTTATGGGAAGGTTTTTAACTACACTGTCAGTTTCTAAAACAGATAAAAAAACTGATCAAGTTATTTATTTCTTTTTAAGTGAGTTTTAGTAATCTGTGTCTTTCAAGAAATTGTTATCAAAAATTTTATTCACATAGTTATTTCAAATATTTATGCATTCTTTCAGTGTCTATAGGGCCTATAGTAGTATCCTTTTTCATATCTGACATTGCTCATTTGTAACTTCTTTTTTATTATCAATCAGTTTGGCTAGAGGTGTATAAATTTTTTTGATCATGTACAAAGACCAGCTTTTGATTTCACTTATTTTTCTCTATTTTCATTTCACAGGTTTCTGAGGTTTTTGTTTGTTTCCTCTCTTCTGCTTCTTTCAGTTTTAATTTGCTCTTCTTTTGCTAATTTAAGGCAGTAGCTTAAGTCATTGGTATGGTATCTTTTCACTTTTTTATATAAACATTTAGGAACATTTAGTGTTTCTACTCTAAACACTATTTTGGCTGCTTTCCACAAATTTTGATGCTATACCTTTATTTGTATTCAATTTAAATGCTTCCTAATTTATCTTATTATTGATCCATGGATTACTTTAGAAATGTGTTAGTTTTCTAAATTTTGGAGAGATTTTCCAGATATCTTTCTGTTATTGATTTCTTATATTCATTGTGCTCAGAGAACTTAATTTGTAAGGTTTTAATCCTTTTAAGTTTATTAATGTACACAAATTATAGAAAACAATAGGTTTCATTATGACATTCTCATACATAATATATATAGTAGTTTGATCATACTTACCTCCACATCACCTACACCTACTGTCCCCCAGTTGGGCTCCTCCCTATTCCCATTAGTCCCCCTTTTTACTTCTTTCTTTTTTAAAGATTCTATATATGAAAGAAAACAAGAGACTTGTCTTTCTGGGTCTAGTTTATTTCACTTAACAGGATGATCTCCAGTTCCAAAGACTTGTTTTAAAGTCCACAACATAGTCTACCTTGGTAAACATTCCTTCTGCATGTGAAAAGAAAGATTATCACACTATTGATGGGTAGCATGTTCAATAAATATTAACTAAGGCTAAGTTGATTGATAGCACTATTCCTGTCTTCTCTACCCTTACTGATATTCTCTATACTTTTATTAATTAAGAAAGTGGAGTTGAAATCTCTAGCTTTAACTTTGGATTTGTCTGTTTCTTCATTGTTTCTGATAGGTCATATGTTTTGCTTCAGATAATTTGAAGCCCTATTAGTAAAGGTATAAACATTGAAAGTGTCATGTCCTCTGATGAACTGAATACTTTAGCCCAAAGTGATCCTATTTCATCAGTAGGAAATACTGATATTGGGACTTTTTCTTAGTTAGCAAGTAACACTGAAGAATTTCTCCTTCCCTTCTCATGAACCACATACTTATGAAAGTCTTACCGTATCATCAAGACCATCTATGTGCAGTACTACTGTTTTAGCACGTTTATTTGTAGTTCCCAGAAAAAACTGAGCTTTCCTTCGACGTGAATTCATTTCATTAAAACTATCACCATCTGCCATATTGGAGGACTGAAGAATATCATAGATTTCAGAGGCAAGAAGTTTTGTTTCTCCTGGAGTTGTAGTCCTTGAAAAGACATGGGGAAAATGATAAATTAGTCACTACTACTGGTACTGTAATTTATTTATCAATTTTGAAGAGCCTTGTTTCTTTTATCCTGAAGCTTTGTTCAACTTAAAAGTGTTACTAGTGAATCTTAGTTTTGAAAAGTGTGTATCAAAAAGACCGCCAATAGTGTGAGGGAGGGATGATGGAGAGGGAGAATGGTATTTAAAACATGTGATGAAGGTAACAAAGGCTATCTAGTAGAGAGGACTTTAAAGTTGGTGTTGTAATGCTGTTTGGGTACAAGCGCTCTAAGACAGAAGTGGATTCTGTGATGTCTTCAATAAATCCCAACACTTCTGATAGCACCAGAGAAGAGGCAAAACTCTGACTCCTCCACATCCTCAGCCACGCATAGCATTCCCACTCCACGTTAAATGGAGAGACCAGGAGGGCTCCCACTCCACTGCCAGACACCAGCTCCCAGACTGCTGGGAAGACGCACACCACAAGGTGAGCGAAGTGGTACGCGGTACTCCCACAGACAATCCTGGGCCAGATAAGCATAGCCCCCAGGACAGACTGGCCCCCACCCAGGGAAAAAGGAAAAGAAAACTGAATAATAAGCAATAACAACAAAAAATACACGTAGCAAAGAGGGTGGGGCACCCTGAGTGCCAAAGAGGGGGGAAGGGCAATCCCTCACAGAACTGTAAATAAACAATCCGGCCAGAGAAGGCAGGAGCAGCAGCACACGCCCAGCAACCAGAAGCAGGAAAGCTTGTAAAAGTGGCAGTGGGAGGAAAACTCCACAGGAGAGGGGGAAGACCCACTTCCCACATGAACTGTAAATAAACACACAGGCCTCAGAAAGCGGGTGCAGTGTCACCTCCCCCAGTGTGCTTGGAAAGGGGAAAGCTTGTAGCAGTGGCAGTTGCACCAAAGAGAACTCTTAAGTAAGCAAAGCCTGTGGCTATGTGAGTGTTAAGCTCACTCCTAAGATCTGCATAAATAATGCCTCCAGCAACAGCAGGATGACAGCAGCAGGTAGGCAAGCCACAGCCTTATCACAGACCTGTCTCCAGACTCTTTTTTTTTTTCTTTCTCTTCCTTTGATGAGACAACAACCAAACTACACCTGCATGCTGAAAAACTTACTGAAACTATATTGCATTTGAACTTGGGACACTTTGTGGTGTTTTTTATGTTTTGTGTTGTTTTGTTTGGTTTGGTTTGGTTTTTCCCCTCTGAAGAGACAATAACAGAACTACTTCTGAGACACCATCTCCAGGATTGGAGGCTGAGGGACGAACACCAAAATTATTACAACTGAAACTTTATTGCATTTGAGTGTGGAGATTTTTTTTTCTCAATCCTCTCTCTGTCTCTCCAATGCCTGTTCAGCTTACTGTTGATTAGTACACTGTCTCTCCCTGTTTATATCTATGAAACTTTTTTTGTTTTGTTTTTACTTGTTTGTTTTTCCCTTTTTCTTTAAATTCTTTGCTTTCCCTCCCCTCTCACTCTTCCATTCTAAATATCACCACTGATATTACTACAAGCTAGAAAATACTTAATTGCACACAGCAGAGGCACAATAACACCACCAAGGGCAATGATGGGAAGTCAGAAAAAACAGGGAAACCAGTTTCCCCACAGCAAAAAATTAGTACAGGAACCAGAGGGAAATGAAGAAAACAGATACTCAGATCCAGACTCCAACAAAATGAAGATAAACTATGCCAAAGAACCCAATGAGCCCACAAGAATAATCTAAAAGAAGAAATACTACAGGTAATCAATGAGAATTTTATAGAGATGATACTGGATATGGTCAACCAAAACATACAGGAGACACTCAAGAAATTCCAAGATAACAAAAATACAGAATTTGAAAAAGCACAAGAAGAAATAAAAGAAACCATAGAAGCACTGTATAAACACCAAAGTGAAACAAAGAACATGATTAATAAAGATAAATGAACTCAGGATGTAAACAGACATTAAAGAGGAAGCGACTCAGGATATGGGAAACCTCAGAGAAAAGAACGAAACAGAATTGCAAAACAAAACGGAAGACCAATCCAGCAGAACAGAACAAACAGAAGACAGAATCTCAGAACTTGAAGATGAAATGGTAATTAAAGGAAAAACCGAAGAACTATTAATTAAACAACTCAAGACCTGTGAAAAGAAAATGCAAGAACTCCACTCCATCAAAAGACCAAACCTAAGAATCATGGGCACTGAAGAAGGAGAAGAGGTGCAACCAAAGGGAATGCATAATATATTCAACAAAACAACAACAGAAAATTTCCCAAATCTAGAGAAATCTATTCCCATACAGATGCAAGAGGCCTCCAGGACACCAAACAGACCAGATCAAAATAGAAATACCCCACGACATATCATCATTAAAATAACAAGTTCAGAAACTAGGAAAGAATATTGAAGGCTGTAAGAGAGACAAGACAAATAACATACAAAAGTAAACCCATCAAAATCACAGCAGACTTCTCAACAGAAACATTAAAAGCAAGAAGAGCTTGGGGTGAGATCTTCTGGGCACTGAATAAAAATAAGTTCAACCCTAGGATACTCTACCCAGCAAAACTATCAATCAAAATAGATGGAGCAATAAAAGTCTTCCATGATAAGCAGAAACTAAAACAATATGTGACCACAAAGCCACCACTACAAAAGATTCTTCAAGGGATTCTGCACACAGAAAGTGAAACCCAACATAACCATGAAAGGGCAGGTAGCACCAAACTACAGGAAAAGAAAAAGCAAGAAAGCAGAGAGTAACCTCAACTTAGTTACACACAATCAAACCTTCAAATAACTAAGACAGCTAGATGATAGGAATCACCACATACCTATCAGTACTAACACTTAATGTTAATGGACTTAATTCCCCCATCAAAAGACACCGTTTGATGAAATGGATTAAAAAGGAAGATTCAACAATTTGTTGCTTACAGGAGACCCATCTCACTGACAGAAATAAGCATAGGCTGAAAGGCTAGAAGAAGATTTACCAAGCCAATGTTCCCCCCAAACAGGCAGGAGTAGCAATACTTATCTCTGACAAAGTAGACTTCAAACCTACATTGATCAAAAGAGATAAAGAAGGACATTCCATACTAATAAAAGGGGAAATAGACCAAAAGGAAATAACAATTATCAACCCTATATGCACCCAATGTCAATGCACCCAATTTCATCAAACATACCCTGAAGGACCTAAAAGCATATATTAACTCCAACAGAGTGGTCGTGGGAGACTTTAACACCCCATTATCATCAATAGATAGGTCATCCAAACAAAAACAAATCAATAAAAAAACCCTAGATCTAAAATATACCATAGATCAAATGGACCTAGTTGGTGTCTACAGAACATTTCATCCAACTTCAACACCATCTCCAGCAATAAAGGAAATGCAAATTAAAACCACACTAAGAGTCTACCTCATCCCTGTTAGAATAGCCATCATTAGCAACACCACTAACAAAAGGTGTTGGCAAGGATGCAGGGAAAAAGGAACCCTCTTACACTGCTGGTGGGAATGTGAACTAGTACAACCACTCTGGAAAAAAAATTTGGAGGCTACTTAAAAAGCTAAACATTGATATACCATATGATCCAGCAATACCACTCTTGGTGATATACCCAAAAGAATGTGACACAGGTTACTCCAGAGGCACCTGCACACCCATGTTTATTGCAGCACTATTCACAATAGCCAAGTTATGGAAACAGCCAAGATGCCCCACTACTGACAAATGGATTAAGAAAATGTGGTATCTACACACAATGGAATTTTATGCAGCCATGAAGAACAAAATGTTATCATTCACTGGTAAATGGATGGAATTGGAGAACATTATTCTGAGTGAGGTTAGCCTGGCCCAAAAGACCAAAAATCATTATGTTCTCCCTCATATGCGGACCTTAGATCAAGGGCAAACACAACAAGGGATTGGACTTTGATCACATGATAAAGCGAGAGCACACAAGGGATGTATGAGAATAGGTAAGACACCTAAAAAACTAGATAGCATTTGTTGTCCTCAACACAGAGAAACTAATGCAGATACTTTAAAGTGACTGAGGCCAATAGGAGAAGGGGACCAGGAACTAGAGAAAAGGTTAGTTTGAGAAGAATTAACTTAGAAGGTAACACACATGTTACCTTCAATGTGAGTCAACTCCCTGTATAGCTATCCTTATCTCAACTAGCAAAAACCCTTGGTCCTTCCTATTATTGCTTATACTCTCTCTTCAACAAAATTAGAGATAAGGGCAAAATAGTTTCTGCCGGGTATTGAGGGGGTGGGGGGAAGAGGGAGGAGTGGGGGATAAGGGAAGGGGTCGGGGAAGGAAGGAGAAATGACCGAAACGTTGTATGCACATATGAACAAAATAAAAATTTAACAAAAAAAAATGAAAAGCACGTATCGTGTAACTGTTTTCTAGTATCATTTTAAATTCATGGCTTATTGAGTTTGAAAATCCATCACCAGGTTGTACAACAGCACATTTAATCAAAATCATTAATTAAATAGGAAACCAACTAATAAGACCAGGTTATGGCATGTCCCTGGATTATCACAATTTGAAAGTTGCCTGACTTCCAAAAACACAACATCTAAAAATTCAAAAGGAGAAAACAAACTGATAGAAGATCATTCAGCTATTCTAAGAAAGAGATTTCTTAGTATGTTGAAGCTAATTCTATTTAATTTACACTTTACACACCTTTACAAAGCATATATATAATCATAAAATTATAAACAAAGTTTTCATTCTTAAACCTTTAAGTCCTATTATAGCTCCTTAATGTTTTTTAAAAAAGAGTATCATGTCCGTACCACAAGGTAGTTTACAACATGATATTAAACATGCTGAACCAAAACCTGATTCTAACACTTCATAGTCTTGATATTTACCAGCCAAAACACATAATTTTATTAACCTTCTGATAAACTTTTAATGGTTATTTTGGCAAACAGATATGATTTTTTTTTTACAAAGCTTGTAAATCAATGATCACCATATTGTTCTAAATATATAACCTTCATTTGAATTAAAAAAAAAAAATAAGCCACTTGCAGAAGCCATGCAGATACACTGCTTAGATCACTCTTCAAGAAAAGGATTTGTCCTGTTGCTATAAGGATTTGAGATCCATCATTAACCCAAGGGTGTGCTCTTAGTCCCTAGCCAACAACTAATCAGAGAGTGCTAAGATCTAGTCATTTCTGCTCAATGTAGAACTCCTCTAAAAGGTACTCTTCGCTTGGAGCAATCCAATGGAGTTGGCTGTCAGATCTGTATTGTAATCTGAGACTCTCTTTGCAGCATTCTGCTTCTTTTCTCTTTCACAAATGTTAGATCTGCATTGTAGTCTGTACACTTTCTCTGCCCCTTCCTGCTCCATTCCACTTTATCTTCACAGACTATATCCCACAATAAGCCTCATCCATTTCTAACTCCATCTTAGGATATCCTTTTCAGATAATTTGCCAAGAGAATGACTTGAACTGACATTATTTCTCTTATAAACAATCAAAGCAGTCTCATTATTATTTTACTGATATATCTCTTACCTATTACATACATAAGCACATTCTTGAGCCAACTAAACCAAGAAATTGTTTTGTAGGATAAATCTGTGGTACCTCTAAACTCTAAATTTTTGAAGTTCAAATATAAAGCATATTTTAATATTTTTAAATCTAATTTTCTACACCTTTTTGTTTGTACTATTTATTTTCAACTTCAATAGATATGCCTATTAGAATACACAAACCACTCATTAGTTAAAAATCTAATTTAATGGCTCTTAAGTCGCCAAGAAACCTTTTAATGAGGTTCATGAAAATTTCACCAAAGTAACTTTTAATTGCCATGACTTTGTGAGGTTCTTTTGAGTAACACCAGGATGAAATAACAAAAATGTTGCACCATACTGTAATGCTGCAATTGATCAAATGTGATTAGTTATCTGTGTTGCTCTGCTAGCAAATCAACTTATATACACTTTACAAAACTTCATAAAATATAGGATTTTCTTTTCTAAAAAATTATTCATCAGACTGGAGGCATGGCTCAAGTGGTACAGTGCCTGCTTTACAAGAGTGAAGCCCTAAGTTCAAACCGCAGTCCCACCAAATAAATAAATACAAATTCATAAGCTTAGTGTTTGTCAACATTTTAAGTCAAATCTAAACATTTTCATAATGTTTGTCAATAAAATATTATCAAAATATTTTATCAAAATATTTTAGACATATAACCTACAGTACATCTTTTATTAGAATCAAAATTTCATAATTATATTTGAAAGCTAAAAAATAAGAACATAAAATTTCAGTGAGTTAAATGTTATCAATCAATTTACATTTAACAAAGTTCATGTTTCCACTTCACTTGGATACTCTACATAATTTACTTACTTCTGGATGACATTCTGCAAGCTTAACATCATACCCAGCTCTCCTTTCATCTTTTCTCTGTTTGCACGACATTCTGCCAGGTATCGAAGAGCCTACAGAGGAAACGGCAATAGGTTATTCACATGTCCAAACATTAAAAATAAAACCACTACTACCTTAGTACATGAGAAAAAAGAAGGTAAATAAGGTATTTATTTTTGGAATCAACTAGTTTTGAACTGTTTAGAAATTCTTCTTTAAATGTGATCACCAGAACAATCCCCCAAGGGAGAAAGGATTCTCTGAGCTGGAGTTGCTGAATTTGCTTCTTGGAACTTAAGTGTCTACCTGATCTGCAAGGTCAAAATTAGAATGTTCAGGGTTTTTTTTACCACTTCATCTTGACAAGAGGTAGTCCAATTTATTAATCTCAAGAAGTAGTCCCAAGAACCACCAATTTCCTAGAGGCTTTTTACACATTAATTAAATTGCTAAGAGGGACAAAACATACAATGACCTTTACAAAACGAATGGATTCTACTTTCACTATAATTTAAATATGTTCTTTTTTTTTTTAGATGAAAAACAGAAGATGAACTAATGCTCACAAATTTTCCATTTTGTGAGTTTAATTTTTCTTAGATGTTTTCTCATAATACTGAAGTACATTTTTACAAGTACTTCCTTCACATGTTGCTTCTTTAAGTATCTTATTTAGCTGTTCCTTTTTAAAGCTAGAGTTTATACTTTCATTCACTGAAGACTTTGGTACCTGATTCTCAGGGGACTATCTTTGTGTACTACACAACCCAAAACCATCATCTCAGTCTACTCACCTTTCACATTTCCACTGGTCCCTTGCCGTTCAATTCCCAAGTCTGCGGTTTTACTAAAAATGTGTCATCTATGAAATCCAAACTCAACAACTTCTTCTTCCTTTCTGCAATTACTTCTACTATAACTTCCACTTCATCTCAATGAAAGTTTACCTGCTTTGGGAACTTGCCTCCCTCCATAAAATGAACTAGCACACACAACATGTATTAATCCCTGTTTTCAGACTCTGATCATGAAGAAGACAGTAATCCTTGAGAAAAGAAAGAGGATGAAGTGGGCCCTACAATTGCCACTCTTTCCTGTACTGGAAACAGTTTCCAGACTTTAGGATAGGAGGGGAAACCCAAGTAGAGTCTAGGGATCTCGCTAAGTTGGGAGGAAAAGATCAGACTTGAAGAGGTTGCAGCAACTAGAATTTACAGAGCAGAGTAACAGAGAGGAAAGATCTGAATAGCAAAAAGAGAACTCTCCTCTGTATGTAGATACAGATATCCAAGGATCGTTGGTTGAATACTGATCTGTACATGTCATGTTGCTAGGGAATAAAGCAATCAGAAAGTAGGGACAGAAGGGTCAGAAAGGGAAAATATGATTGAAGTACACTTATGCATGTATGAAAAGGTCATAATAAAACCATTTTTTTTTAAAGAAAGATTTTTAAAAGGGGGGTATAGAAAGAGTAATAAAAGTAAATGTGATCCAAGTACATTACATCCATGTATGGAAATATCCCAATGAAAACCTCCACATTGTACAACTATGTAGTAATAACAAATGTGGAGGAAAAAAGAAGTAGGGGAAAAAATTCCTGAAGTTCACAATGAGCTGAGAAGAGTATAAGATGCCACACATGAGACTCAGGGAGAAGTCTCAGAAGAGCTTCACATTAGCAGTACAGATATAGAATATCTATATTGTTGGATCTACCATAACAAAACCCACGGAAGTCTTAAAAAATCAAATTGGAGCTGGTGGAGTGGCTCAAGTGGTAGAGCACCTGCCTAGCAAATATGAGGCCCTGAGTTCAAACCCCAGTACCACCAAAAAAAAAAGATGGTCTCAAATAAATTCACAGCAACCCAGAACAAAGAATATTTTTTAAAAAACACCCCAAAACAATAAACTGTTTAATATGCCACATTTGATTAGAAATTACCAGGCATGGCTAGGTATGACAGTGCGCACCTGGAATCCTAGAACTCACAAGTTGGAGGCCTTCCTGGCAAGTGAAAGGCCAGTACGTAATACATAGTGAAACCCTGTCTCAAAAAACCAAGGGCTGGGGATTATCTCAGTGGAGAGCATTTACTTATACAAGACTATGGTTTCTATCCCCAGTGCTATTAAAAAAAAAAAAGAAAGATATAGTAGATAGAATTAGAAATAGAAGATTAACTTCTGGAGGACAAAAAGATTATATGAAAAATGAAATGCGTACTTGATGGATGAATGGCAGTTAAGACATTATAAAGAGTGAATTTTAAAGTATATAATAGAAACAGTTCCAAAATGCAACAAAGGAAGAAAAAAAGATTCAAATAAAAGAAATGAAAAGGGGGAATACAACAGTTCTCTGTGGGACAACATACAATAACTAATATTCATGTAACTGTGGACTGGGAGGAGTGGGAGAAAAGAGAAAGAAAAAATCTTGGGAAAAAAACTGATGACAAGTTCCTAAATCTGATGAGAACTGTAAGTCCACAGATTTACAAAACTCAACAAATCCCAAGTAAAACACCAACAAAAACAAAACACAAAAAAATTCACACCAACCACATTACAATCACATGTTGAAAAATAGTAATACATTATCAGATGAAGCCAAAAAAAGGCTTATCTTACATACAAAGATAAGAATTATAGTAGTTTTGTTACTAGAAATTATACAAACCAGAAGACAAGACAGCAACATCTTTTAAAGTACATGAGGAAAAAGATCACTATTAAATCTGTACTGCAAAAAGTGTTAATGGAAGTTCTTCAGGCAGAAAGAAAATGACACTGAATCTGAAATCTATATTAAGAAATGAAGAACCAGAAATGGTAAAGATGGACTATAAAATACATTCAAACATTTTAATCTTTTTAAAAGATAATTGGCTGTTTAAAGAACAAAAATGCACTGTGGGTGTTTAAACATATGTAGAAGTAAAATGAATAACAAAAATAGCACAAAGAAAATAGAGAAAGGAATGGAAATATACTATTGTATGATTCTTACACTATACATGAAGCTTATGACTCATTTAAAGATAGTCTGATAGTTAAAATGCACATTACAAAACGTACAGTAACCACTAAATAAACTAAAATAAAAACGGTGTACCAAGAGTCAGTTGGAATGATAAAAAGGAATTATGAAAACATTATGTGTTTTCTTCAACCTTATTGGGAACTTTTGTCCACTGATCCCTCTATGTTCTCATTAGCCCCATCTCTCTATGATTTACTTGCCTTACTATTCAGTCTACCACCTATAGTTTACCATTTCAACCATTCCATTGCCAAGATGCAAGCCTTTCTGCATAGTCATTCTGTCCAACTTACCTGGCCAACTTTCAACTTCAGACAGTTCCAACTATTTGACTCTCAGGGCCTATGGCAGGCCTGAAGTTGCAGAGAAAAAGTACTTTGATAATCAAGTCCTAAGTGTCACATTATTCAGTGCTACCAAACTAAGCAGTACCTCAACACTGCTGAACAATCTTACGGTCTTCCTTAGTCAGCAGCCTTTCCCATTTTCTGTAATCAGGAAATCCTTCTCCTCAAAACTTCCATACTCTGGTCAGGCATGGTGGTGCACACCTGTAATCCCAGCTACTTGAAGTCTGAGGAAGGAGTAATACAAGCTTGAGGCCAATCTGGGCTATATAGCAAGACCCTGTCTCAAAAAAAAAAAAAGACTTCCTTTAGCTCTAGGACCCTGTTTAGAAATGTAGCCATAGAAACTATCCAAAATGCAGCACATGGAAGAACAAAAGAGTTGAATAAAAGAAACAAAAAGGAGGAATGCAACAATGCCAGTAGGACAACATATGGTAACTAATATACAAGTGCCCGGGGTCAGGCAAGAAGAACAAAATGGAAGAGGCGCTCACTCTCATCTTTATTGCTTACTGAAACAGGAGCCAGGATATTTTTTCCCATTTGTTACTACTGTTCACACTCACAGCAGTATCAGTTTTGCTGGTTAAACATTCTCTGAGAGCAAAATTGAAAACTCATATAGTTTGGTACTCTAAAAGGAAAAGCATATTTTTGTACAAACATGAAAATGAATTAAATGGGGGAATTTAGGGATTCTTAAGTAAAGGATGGTAAGTAAAATTTCTATTAATTTTCCCTCATTTCTTTACTCTCCCCTTATCTTTCTCCTCCCCTTCCTTCCCCTCTCTCTTTCATTCTTAGACACAGTCTTGCTATGTAGCCCAGGCTGGGCTAGAATTCACAATCCTCCTCCTGAGCACTGGGTTTGTAAGCATGTACCACCATGCCCAGCTTTCTATTACATTAATTTTCTTTTAAACTTTGCTACAGAAATTTTAGAGCACACAAAGGAGAGAAAATGTGTGGTGACCCCTATGTACCCATCATTCAGCTACAACAATTATCAATGACTTTGCAATCTTGTTTCATCTATCTCCCCTGCCCATAATCACAGCTGAGTATTTCATAGCAAATCTAAGAGAAAGTATCTTATTAATAAATATGTCATTACATCCCAAAGAAATTAGTTTTTCTAAATTATCTTAATGATTATAATATCCTGCAACAGTAATAATGATTCTTTAATATCATCTACTATGTAATCCATACTCATTTTCAGCTATTAAAACTTGTTTAAGTTGCTGGCACCAGTGGCTCATGCCTATAATCCTAGTTACCCAGGAGAAGAGATCATGAAGACTGCAGTTCGAAGCCAGCTCAGGAAAATAGTTTGAAAAGACTCTACCTTGAAAAAAACCCATCACAAAAAAGGGCTGGTAGAGTGGCTCAAGTAGTAAGAATGCCTGCCTAGCAAGCTTAAGGCCCTGAGTTCAAACCATAGTGCTACCAAAAAAAAAAAAAAAAAAAAGTTTATAGTTGATTTGTTCAAATCAGGATTCAAATCAGCTCTACATGTTACGTTTAGTTGCTACACCCTTTACATGTCTTTTAATCAATAATACTTATCACCATCCCTCCTGCCTCCTCTAACTAGCTGCCTTTCTTTTGAATGTCAGTTACTATGCAAAGAACCACATTATCTGTCCTCAAAAAACTATTACATTCT